TGGCTGCCCGTCATGAGGGCATATGGCACAGGGCCCGACCGTCAGTCCAAGGAGGGCGTCCTGGAAAGTTGTGGTCACTACCGACAAGGGCCTGCAGAAAATATTTTTTGGCCGAGGGGCGCGACAAGGTAAATCGGCCGTCGGAGGGGCGCGACAGGAAATAATGCAAATTACAGGGGCGCCAGCCAAATTTTCCCTTAATAAAATGTTAGCAAAAAAAAAAGAAAAAAAGAATCCTCTCTTTACACTTGTAATGTTCATGCAATGCTTTTCCCGCCCAAATGCTCAGCTCAGGATCCTTGTTTCTAACCTAGGAAGCAGTACGCTAGAAACGAGGACCCCATCTTTTTATTCCTTTTGTTGACAATGGACGTCGAGGCACGGCACACGAAACGAAAAACGAAACGAGTGCATCTTCCCACAGAAAATGGCCACGCTCATCCCTTTGCTAACGAGTGTATGTTGCCACCTACCGTGGGCAGATGCACTCGTTTCTTTTTCGTTTAGCTTAGGTGCAGGCCTTGGGACACTGTAGTCTAGTAGCAGAATGGCCAAAACTTGACCCCTGCCCTGACACATCCCAACCCTGGGAAAAAACAAAAAAAAAGAAATAAAAGCGCCTTCACTGCCCTTCAGGGCCTCCAAAGCCGAACACAAGCCAAATTCCTTACCTTCGCTCTATAGCAGATCTTTTTAGGCAGCCCACAAATCTAATCGCCTTTTTTGGGGGGGGGGGTGGCCTGGCTGTCGCACGAATCAAAAACTAAACTACACCCCTGCCAGTGTGGGACTTGGCCCCGGGTGTAAAAACTGAGCTAGGCTCATTGGTTCTGGGTATATTCTGGCTGGGCCAGTTTAGGCATTTCGAGACCGGAGCGGGCTATTTTTGTACTCGTACCTTTTCTAATTACAAAGATGGGGGTTAGTCCCTTTTTCTGTTTTCCGTCTTTTTCGCTTTTGGTTAACCATCTTTTGGTGGTGAATACTAAGGATGAGCTGATTACATTGCGGACTTGGAGAGGGTGTATGAGTAGACCCGCGCACAGGGTCACGTTGAACTACCTTTTTTTTTTTTTTTTGGGACGCTGGACTTTTTCAGAATTGCCCCTTGGGCAACTCTTGTGATGTTTGTTTGTTTGTTTGTTTGTTTGTTTGTTTGTTTGTTTTAAGAAAAAAAAAAACGCAAACCCAGTCTCACTGGTGGGCAGTGTCACTGGCTGCAGAATGGGTCCAGCGCCCCCAACCCTTTACATTCGGAAACAATAAAAGTAGGCCTGTCAGAATGCACCTGGTCATGCATAGTGCAAGTACATGATCTGCAGCTGAAAGTCCACATGCCCCGTACGTATCCTGGCACAGCAACCAGTAGCTGTGTCTTTTCGGAACATGGCAGGCTATATATATATATATATCGTCACAAATAGAACTGCCCGGTAAACCGTAGGCAGAGATATATATATATATATTGGGGTGATCACAACTGTCTATATTCTTCTCTCAACTTCTGTTTTTGTTTACCTTCTACTATCTACTCCTAAGACTATCTAGAGGGGACCCCTGCAAGCATAGTTTTCCTCTCTTTGTGAAGGGGGGATTTCATGTTGCCCCTTGCCCCTGATGGTTAGGGTATAGGGTTGGGGCCGCCAGTGGGGGTCTGTCTAACACAAGGACCGAGACCTGCCAGTAGCTATGCCTCCCTTTCTCATCGTCCCCCACCCTTCATCGAGTAGCAGCAGAGGCTATGGCCAACACTCTCCCACACACCACACACAACCCACTCGCGCTCACACTCACACCCGTGTTGGTCATAGACCCCGCTAATACCGATCAGGGGTATCCAGAGGACTATCACAGTCCGTTGGCACTAAGTGCGCCGCAGGCAGCCATGGGGCTTGAACCCACAACCTCCTGAATGCCACTTGCATGCCTAACCAACTGCCCTTCGCCTGTGAGCTATTTATGTCCTTTCTCTTTTTTTCATTTTTTTTTTTCAAAAGCCCAGGAGCGAGATCCCACTACCCATGTATGTGGAGTGTATGTGAACTAGTGACTGTCAGGCATCGTGGATTTGGCAAATCAGCGGTAGCCTGTTTTTGTGAATTAAGCCTGGGAAAAGGATTTTTTTTTTCGCTCTCCCATTGGTAGGTTTTTCTTTCGTATTTGCTGTGGGGGTCCTGTGGCGGTCCCAAAAGTGCATGAAATCGAGACCAATTTTTTTGGTTCATGAAATCACGTACGTTTCATTCACGGCGAAGGCATAGACGAATGGCTTCATCGCTGGAAATTGATTGTGGTCTGGGAGGTGTTTAGGAGGGTTCTATCCCCTCACCTACAGCAACTGGTGTATGGAGATACTCTTGCCCTCCTTTGCCAAAGAGAATTTCTAACAACCGAAAAGCGTGCACTGCGGCCGATTTCATGGAAGCCTCAGACTATTGTCAATGAATCTGTTCCACGTGCCCGCTCACATGCAGTCATCTTGACTGCCACAGCCATGGTCAGTGAATCATACCCTGACATCTGACACCCCGCCTGGAGCAGACACCATCTGTGAGAAGAGCACTTTCTTTTCTTTTTTAGCAGTTTTTTGAACTTTTTTCTTCATTTGTTTGGTCATGAAATGTTTTTTTTTTTGCGTTTATTTTCCCTATTTCACGCTGCCACCCACCTGTCCCCCACCCGTCCCACACCCCTCACACTAATCCACATACATGGCTAGTGGGATCTCGCTCCAGGTTGTTGCAGTCTTAGAGGTTATGTCCGTTCTCATGGACAGTTTTGCCCTTTTCCTTTTTTCCTCTGAAAACGGTTTTGTCATTTTTGGACATGGTGGCTATTTATAACCTTTGCCTGTAAACTGGGACCCAAATGGAAGTCAGGTCTTCCCAAAAAAAAGATAAGAAAGGGAAGTCAGGGGAACTTTATCCTTTCTCTCCTCTGGTTTTGCTCTCCAGGCACCTTCTTCACCCAACTAGAATGCCCGGTCATCATCCCCGTCCCTAATTGCCCTAACTACAGCTATAATGACCATGCTTTCTATTCCAGTGAAGATGGTAGTACTTGTTGATCTATGAACACTGAACAGAAATTCAAGTCTTTGGAGGAAAAAGGGAGTCAACTAATAAAAATAAAACCCATGGGAGGGACCTCTTGAAAGGTACTCCCCCCCTACCCCCACCCCCACCCACCACCCACCCACCCACCCAAAAGAAAAAAAAGAAAAAAAAGAAAAAAAAAGGGCATTGTGATACTCCACACCTGTTCACTCACTCTTGTGGTTATTCACCGCCGCATCTGCAGGTCCATTTGGGGTCAGAGCCCATGCATGATCCATCAATCAAGAATATTTTCGTGCTTTACGACTTCCTTACCGATTTTGCAACCATTACAGACCTCCGTACCCTGTCGTTGCCAAAATCAAGTTCAGTGCTCTGGTACTCGTTCACACGAGGTCAGTGGACTACCTCCAAATCCTCCTTTTTTTATGGTTTCGGATGAACCTAGCAAAGTCTTGAGTTCTGTTCATTGAGTCAGACACATGCCTCATTCGTAACCCTTGATTGCGTAGATGATCAAAGGCCACAGATGAGAGGAGCATTCCCCTTTTTCTTTTTTCTTTTTCTTTTTTTGGGGGGGGACAAAATGCTCCAATCTATTCGTGGGGAGCAGCACGTGCTGGGAACGGGGCCCAGCGTCCCGTAAAAAATACACAAGTATTAAAGCACCGGGGCCATTGCCCGGCTTCGGCTGAGAAAACTCTGAGAAGAACTTGCACCAAGTACTAATGAAACAGCCTCGAAGGGGCTAATGGAAGAAAACAGACATCTATGCAATACTAAATTCAAAGGGTCTACCTGAAAGCGACTATGGGGGAAGAGACCATATGTATAGCTAGCATCTATGGTCCGAATGACACCGCTGCCAGACTTCAATTTTTGCAGAATCTGACAGAAGTCCTGCCAAAAGACTGTCCCCTGATCATAGCCGGGGACTTCAATGTCACCCTTGACCCAGCTTTGGACAAACAATCTTCCTCCCAACAGCCGAATGTAGGGGACATTCAGCCAGATGTCATCATGCTTAATCAGATTATGGCGGACTTGCAACTTGAATTGTGTGATATATACAGATTGTTCCATTCCACCAGGAGGGCCTACACCTGCTTGAGATCAAGAGGAGAAGCGGGACTGTCCAATTCTCGGATAAACCTCTTCCTCATCCCGCAAGCCATCACCGGCCTGGTGACCGTCGCAGAGATACAAATGATCAGCCCCTGTCGGTCATTTGACCACAGGGGAATAGCGATGGGATTATCGTTTCATCAACACCTAGCCCGCGGCCCCGGTTTTGACAAGTTCAACACACGTCTGCTCAAACTGCAAGCATTGCACTAGCTCGTGGACGAATTCTGGACCTACTGGTCATCACCGAAAGACAAGCACGCATCCCTGGTTGACTGTTCAACGCAGAAGTGACCAACCTCATAGAGCGGGTTAAAAAATTCTCAATCAAACAAGCGAGGGACCGTAAAGCCACCTCGGACAATCTGCTGCACACACTCGAATAGTGGGACCAGCAGCTACTGGAACAACCGCTGGACCCACTAAATTAAATCTTCTCTCAGCTCCAAGAGGCCAGAGATCACCTTCAAGCCCATCTTGACCGCCAAACAGAAACATGGAGAATCCAGACCCGAATAAAGAAAACAGACACAGAAGGGACGATGGCCAGAGCCTTCTTCGATAAAGCCAAGACCAGAGCAAGACAAAGCATGGTACCAACGCTTCACCATCCGTTCGACCGCACCAGCCGGACGCAACGAATGCCTATGCGATAGTGGACTACGCAACGAAGTATTACCAGAAACTCTTCACCTCTGAAAAAACACAATGGGGGGACGATGCACTGACCCAAGCTAGATCTACTATGCTACATAACTCATCGGCCCAACTCTCCCAACAACAGAAAGAGGCTCTGGAAGCGCCTCTTTCACCGCAAAAGTTACGCAGCATTAAAAGCTATTGAGGACGAAAAGACCCCGGGTTTGGATAACTTCCCTAAGGAATTCTGGCTGCACTTTTGGGACCGTCTCAGCCCGGATCTCATGGCATACATACATGCGGCCCAACAAGAAGGCCGCTTTGGGGACCTTATGGGACAAGGGGTCACCACATTGCTTTACAAGAAAGGGGACCGAGCAGAAATTAGAAATTATCGCTCGATTACTCTCTTCCCCCTCCCCTACAAAATGGTGGCAAAGGCATTATGTAATAGACTCCTTCCTCGTATGCGCCACCTCATCCACATGGACTAGATAGGCTTCATGCCCCACCGAAACAATCAAGACAATGTCCTGCTGGTCAATGAAACGATCAAATACGCTAGACAGATAAAAGTGCAGGCGACAATCTTATTCATTGACTTTGAAAAAACATACGACCATGTCGATTGATGATTTTTAAACCAATGCTTGGACAAGATGAACTTTGGTCTTACATTCAGGCGTTGGGTCCACACACTCCACCACTCAGCAGCAACGAACATCATGCTAATTGGTCACCTATCTCCACCTTTCCACTGGAAAAGTGAGTGAGACAAGGGGACCTGATTGCCCCGCCCCTCTTCATCATTGTAATGGAGTCCTTGGCAGCACTCGTACGAGTCAACCCGCTATCGAAAGGATCTCCATTCCGGAGCTCCCTACACACAGAATACCGGTCACTTAATTATTTGCGGATGGCCTCACCGTTTTCGTTAAAGCCTCGATCCCCAGTATGCAAATCTTGACACACACGATACACATTTTCGCCACAGCAGCTGACATGAAGGTCAACTGGGGCGCTAAAACGGAGGGCTGGTGGCTCCACAATGCAAACCTGTCTTCACCTGAGGAACCTCCTGTCAACTGGCAGGCGAAGGAGGAGGTCATCCGCATCCTGGGAATCAGACTCATAGCCGTGGGCCCCCCCAAGGACCACGGGGACCATCTGATCCAAATAGTTGGCAGAGCCCTTGCAATCAATAATGCAATCCTGTTAACCATCTGGTACAAGATAGCATTTTGGACCTTGCTTCCGTGACAACTGACTCACCTAAAGACAACGATAGCAGCATACCTATGGAGAAATGATTACGAGTTAACATCCTGCATCAAATGAGTGGCCTGGGCCCAAATGGCCCAACCGAGGGCTTAAAGTGGCCTGGGAATTATAGATCCAGAAGACCAGATCAAATCCTTGGTTTTCAAAGTCATAGTCAGGTTGCTGATGTCCGACGACATCCCATGGGCTCCTCTGACCTATATCCAACTGGCCTGTTTAGCACCGACATCAATGTATGATAAGCCAGTCCACCCACTGACCTGGCTCACAAACCCAGCCTGGTCAATACCTGCACCCCCGAGGGCAGAGGCAGGGGACAGCCACGACATGGCAGCCAAAGCTGATCTGGCCAACGATCCCATGTGGGCCTCCCTGGTGGCGCTATGGAGGGACATTGGACCTGCAAAGTCTCTGCCTCCACCAAGGTGGCATGAGGTCTGAGGCAACCGTGGTTCGGGAACCCCCACATTGTGGATTCCCAAGGAAGGCTTTTCTCCGTTATGCAAGGGTCGCATTGGCTGTCCTGGGTGAAGAAAGGGATATTTTTCCTGGGTGACCTATGGGATATACCTGCAGGCAAGTGGAAGAATGCTTCCCACCTCCGGTCAACGCTGAGAAGCATTAAAAATCTGGAGGGCAAACTCAACACCCTTCAGGAAGTTGTTCCGATGGCCTGGCTCCGGGCCCTCAAACATGGCCTGCGGATCATGAAAGAAGACTGGGTCGTCCTTGTGACAACCCTCCCTCTCCCGATGGTCATGTATAAGGTGGACAAGTGCACAACGGATCGGGCAGAACTAGAGGCCAATGAACCAGAACTCCCGAGGGCTCGCCTAACCCTTCTAACAAGGCATGTGGACCTAGATACCCAACAACCCTAGACCGGTCTTATCAGGGTGAGGGTACTGGGAGATGACAAAGACGGCTGGTATGGGTACGAATCATCAATTCCCCTCTCCCAACTTCCCTTTGACCCGGCGGAATGGCACTGGGAGGGTGACAAGCCACTCCCCCTATGAAAATTTACAGTTAAGGATTGCTACAGGAAAACACATAGGATGACGCACACCACAAACATAGTAAAACAGCGATGAAAAATGGACTCTACTCTCATGGACCAGGAAATCGAACAGATCTCCTGCTCCCGATACACACGACTGATGCCCACATCCCACAGGGCGCACCATGGCAGATCTTATACAAATGCCTGCCAACGTCGGACTGGGTGGTGTCCCGCTCACAATTAGAGCAAAAAGGTATGTTGTCACCCATTTGTACCTACTGCGCACGTAACTGTGGTAAATCAACACCGAAGCAAATCGCGGATCTGGAACACTGCCTCCTGTTCTACCCGGTGGCAAAGCGGATATGGGAGTTGTGGAGTGATGCATGGTTCTACCTTACAGGGCCGGACTTCCCATGGGAACCGACGGTTATACTACTGGGCCAGTTGCCCGAAAAGGCACGAGCAAGGAGACCATTCCAGGCGAACCTCTTCTCACTCACCAAGCTGGAAATATTGATGACAACCTGGCGAGCCAGATGTTCTCACGAACGGAAAGAGCATCTGTTTGGGTACCAGCAAGCCAGATCACACATAATTGACACTATCCGGGCTGCCATCCACAGCGCCTGGACTCAACTAAAAGACAGCCTAGCTCACACGAAGGACCAACTTCAGAAAACAGAACAAATAGCCCTCTTCGAGCAACTATGGCTGGATCCGGAGAAGAAATTGGGGGAACTTGACACATTGCATCGCATGCTGTGGAAGCCCCGGTGGCAGGATGAACGCCAGCGGCAGTGGAAACCGCTCTCGGTCGCCCATTGCGCGGTACCGGGCCACCCACTGCAGCCCATTCTCAGCCCCACACAACAGTCCCCTCCACGCCTCCACACATATGTGTATCAACCTATCCTGTCTCCTACAGTATCTCCAATACCTCCAGTGGGGACTACCCTTCCACAATCTCCCCCACCCCCTCCCCC